ACAGAATATGCACACTTTCTGAAAGTACTGTGTGATAAGTCACGCACCAAACCTATACTCTCGATATACATGCTGCTCTTACTTAAAAAAGAATATTGGGTTAACAAGATACGTATATTAAAGTACCATGCTTGGTTGGGTTAATCACGAACATATTTGAACTTTCAAGACGGACCATGAAATTATGACTTGAATTTGGACCTGGCTTTCTGGTGTGATGTAACACCCCAGAATCTCCGGTAGAAAAAGGGCTCAAAGCACGAATTAAGATCACGAGATGATACTGATGTTTGCATCTGGACATATATTTGCGTAGTATTACTACCTTAATTCATCAGTATATATCTATTTTGCAAAAAAGGATATTATAGGATCGACGCTGACATGCGCATATAACCTATTCACCAGTGCTGCAATATTTCATTTCTTCTGACACATATCGACACGAGAAATTATATTTAAATTTAAAAGGAGCCCAAGTGGGATAGAAATTTGAGTCTGAACCTGTTGAACAAGGCTTGTTTCATTTTGGGCTATAGCATTGCCGCAAGGCCTGGGCGGAAGGGAACACCTGTTTGCACCCATCAGATACCAATCACAACTTCTCTCTCCAAACGAAAACAAAATACGAAAAATGTCGGAAGTGTATCCTTCTAACTTTCTATTTAGATACCTTTTTTAACTTTAAAGTAATTATATGTATCTCTTGTATTATGGTATCTGTGATGCTGGTACCGTTTTGTTGCCATTGTGTAGCTTTTGTGGAGTTATTATGAATATCAAATACATGCCTTGAAATATGGACTTGTGAAAGAACTCATCATTGAATCATTTGCATTTAAATTAATGCATATACCATTTACTTGGCGTGTATGGACATATTATCCATCTACTTATACACACTTATTATGGACATATACAGAATTTCATTGTACCTTATTATTTAAAAAAATACCCGTGAAGATCCGGGTTAGAATAGGCATTCAACAACCCATGCTTCTACGAAGGCGACTTGGCTCGCTGACTTGGTTGATGCATGTCATCGTATCCCAAATGCGTAGATCGGTGCTCTTGGTGATAATGACTAAATGTTTGGTCCAGACTGGATTATTTACGAACCACCGTCATATAGCTGGTATATTGCTGAGTGCGGCGTTAAACAACAAACAATCAAACAAAATCTATATAATTTTTAAACATCTTCCAACAATGAGAAATTAAACTTATATTTTCTAAATATTCTGTTATATTTATAACATAATTTGATTCATAATTTAATTATTGCGTTGCTTTCTTCCCTGTCATTCAATGTGCATGTTCAAACCCCTAAACTTTTAATATTTCATTTTTCATAAATTGCTACGTTAGTGCGTTGCCTAGATCTCTCGTTACCTACTCACAAGAATAGATTAAAATAATTTGTTTTGCTATCATATTTCTGTTTATCTAATTCATAATACAAAATTGATAATTCATTTATAATAGTATAGATCATATTCGTGTATATCACTATCTGATGCTAAGGTTTTATTTCAGAAAATATAATTAATTCAAAATGTAGAAAGATACACAATTTGCCATTATTTGACTTTTAAACTGTACAAAGTATGATATAATGATCAGAATACCTGTAATGGGTAGTATTTAAGAAAGAAATATTTGTCGAGAAGTCCCATTTTTTTAGATATGCCCTTCAGTAGTATTATTGCATATCTCCAGAGAGAGGTTTACATTGTAGTTCTCATTATTTGTGGATAATTCAAAAAGCAACATAGAAAATATATATGCTACCATGACGAAAGAATACAGAGTATACATAACTCGCAATTCTATATATTCAGCAAACAGCCCAAAACCGAAACTCCACAACATATCCGATTACACTGATTAAGGCTGTCCCAGTTCTCTATGCGATACTGACGCCCGTTCGTCTCCCAGACCATACAGAATAAATTTAAAAGGAATCCAGCTCAAGTCTAGAACGATTTGGCAAGCCTAGATTGCCTTAATTCTATCCATGAAAGTAAGCATTAATAAAAAAATATTGTTCTTGTCTGCTTCAGATTATATTTTGTAGATACTTATTTTAACTAGGAAAATTATACTGACACCGGCGCTGTCCCTATTGAAGCTATCCATAAGAATTTCGAATTGCCGTCCATTGTTCGATGTCAATACATCGATGACAAGTGAGGATATCATAAAGTAATCGTTGATGCCGTGCTACACTTTGATAAAAATTATAATCAAGTTGACTGGTATGTACATTACTACAGTGAACATGTATGTACATGATCATGCCCTAATAATCAAATGCCGTAATGTCAAATACTAATTTATTATTGTGTGATGAATTTAACTGGATAAGTGGTAACATGTAATATTAATATTCCATCAATTTCTTTCCTGGTTGGTCCATCCATGTCTACAAAATGAAAATAATACAATTAAAATGGAGCATAGAACGATTCTTAATTTCAGGCTGGAGCTGTGGAAATCTAGACTTTCCCAATCATTATAGACTTGAGTTGGTCTCATTATTCTCTTTGGTCAACGTCACAGCTCATACCATACACTAACAAGACCAGCAGTATATCAACTGCAATATACTGTATACATCAGTATACAGTGTGTCGCGAGCTCTGCGCTGGGCTGGAGCACACATTTCCTACACCTCTCCCTTCGGCAAACACATCACGAGGGTTGCAACGAGGTCACAGGTCAGGCGTGCACTCGTCAGTTGTCTAATACGGTCAAGAGTAAGATCTTCCGGAAGACCACTGCACTGGAGGTATGTGGATTATTGAGGAGGTACTACGTGTTTGGAACTGGGAGTTGAACACTTAGCACTTTTAGAGAAGAGCTCACAATAAAACGTTATGGACTCGCGGACGGACTTGTGTTTTCATTTCAAGACATACATTTATCAGGTTGAACTTCCTAACTGTAACAATAACTGAACTTTACGCCTTTTATACACATTTGTGATGGGGCGACAATGCGACAACGTGACATATTTTGACCTTGAAAAAGTCGCGTTACTGCATCGTCGCCCTTTTGTAAAATAAAGAAAAGGATTATCAAAGAGCGACAATGCGAACACGCGACAATGCGACAAATGGCCAATTGTCGCGCTTTTGTTAATTTTGACACGTTTTGCTTGTTTTTGTAAAGGCGTCAATGCGACAACGAGACAATGTCCCTACCATTGTAATCCGTGGAAATAAAACTGAGTAATGAAATAGAAGTCTGACATGCCAGTTAAAAGATAGAGTGTTGCAGCTTCTGATTTCATAGATCTTCAAGAAGGGTTATCAATAATGGGATGGGTGATGAGTTCAACTGCATACGCTGTGATTAACAATAATGCTCCGAGTCAATACATTTTGTCAAATGTATGACATGTATTACGTGAATGAACATATTGTTTATACTCGTCCATGTTTTTGACGGACAAAATAATTTGCTTGCTCGGTAAAACTGAGGACGGGCATCATTCTGTGTTTCCATGCTTTGTTCAGGTGAACAATTGACTTGTCCTTGCATGTTTTGTGACGGGTGCCACTTGTGTGGCAGGATACGCTCACCTTTTCCGAACACCCATTGGATGACCTGAACCACTTCGGATTTTTATCCCACATCAGTCTGATACACCATGATATAACTGAAATACTGAAATACTGTACAGTTGAAAATGATGTTTAATGCGATTACCGTAGTGTGTTACTGGAACTGTTCAAATTTTGGCAGTGATGTTATGTAATATGTAAGGGAAAGCATATTCAATTATCCAATTGATTTGAATAGAATATACTTGCGTCAGTGTATTTTATTAACGCCCCAAATCGTAATTTAAACACATAAAATAACAGATCACGCATGGTGCCTAGTCTTACTACTAGATTTAATGGGCCACCCCGGAATAAAATAGTTCCCCCAAAGCGAGGAACATATGTTTTTGTATGTTTACAAGAAATATATTCCAAACAATATCCTCATTAGATGAGAAGATCTTTTACAGAATTACCTCAGTAAGTCAATTACAATGACAGAGCGTCGGAATACATTTACATCAAGTACAATACGTCAAAATGGCCGACACGATAAACGTGACGGGAGATATGTTCGAAGTTGTTAATTAACCTGTGGCTATTTCAAGCCTTTGGCATCACTGATCAATTGGCGGATCATTGAAACGTGATTGACAATGCGAAGATGTGTCAAATAGATACTAAGGTAAATTCATAGATTGCTGTAAATTGTCACTGCGACAGTTTGGATTTTGTTTTCGTGTTTTTTCTCTCTGGGATGGGTTGCAGCGAGGGTATCCTTAAATGGCTTGCAACCACGCTTCTGTATGAATTCGTACCAGGGAATTCCAAGGGTTTTCCCCAGGAATGTGGAAGTAGTCAGTGTTTACGCCTTTTCAAGAATACAGTCACGTGAAGAACGTCATGTGACCGACCTCGCGTCCAAGTCGTAAATCTTGTAAACTTCACATTAAAAAATTAGTTATTGTTATAACCAAATGAAACACAACCCATTATCCGATAGGGGTAACTGTACATAGCCGTTACCACAATAAACTTGGGAACATTGTTTGGTTTGACTTCTTGGCGCGTGTCTGAATTCCATTAACATGTAACATATCCAAAAACTAGCTTATCAGCAAATCTCGCTGCACTGCGCGCGACAGATACTAGAGCAAGGCATGCCAGAAATACGAAACCTAAAGCTTCCGAAGGAAGCCTTGGACATCACGTGCGTCGGGGCACCAGCGCCATCTGATTGGCCGTTAACAGTTGTACAAGGCGGAGCAAAAAGCATCGTATTTCCGTCCATTTTACGCTTGAAAAACTCGACCCTTTTCTGGACACTTTCTAGACGCTGACCAATTAATCAATTTTAATGAATTTTTAGTCGTTTTTCCGTCCAATGACCATATACGGAAAAAAACGACGTTTTCGTGTTTGCAGTGAAAGCGACGTGGAATGAACGATCAGCTGATCTCTGATGGTGGTTAACTATGTGATATAACCAGTCTTGATCATCCCTAATGTACCGGTGAATCGTGAACATCTATTTCCGGACATGACTATAGATCTTTGTTTAGGCGAAAAGAAATACTGTCTTTTCACCAGCGTGACCGTTGCCGCTAGAGATGAAGGCTATGCTGGTCAACTGTCTACAGGTGTGATATTAACATGTACTGCTCGTACCACATACGCCGTCAGTTTAAGGTTGGACCGTCCAAGTCAATGCACCAGCCGGGTGAGTGAAGGGAAGATGAATTAAACAAGATCGCCCGTTGCGAAGATCGATGCTCATGATGTCAATCACTATAATGTCTGATCCAGTCTCGATTATTTACAGACAGTTATCAAAAAGCTTGGATATTGCTGAGTGCGGTGTTAAACCAAAAAAAACCATCCATCAACGGCACAAACCCCTCACAACAACAGTAACGAAGTGAGACAAAGGAATAAGGGAGAAGAGCTTGCTAATGTCACCAACTGTACGACATCCATAACCTTCGTTCAGCAATGACACTGGAATAATATATATTATTACCAATTATTTCTAATAACAGTGGCACATCTCTAATAAGGTTTTGGATGTCCTGGTCAATGAAATACTGGTGCGTGACCCGTACTGTTCTGTACATTCACATCAGCTCCAGCTTTCAGTAACGCATCCACAGACTCTGTAGTTCCCCATCCTTCTGCTGCTGCTGCTGCTGCTGCTTTATGAAGTGGTGTGTCACCTGTTTTGTTCTGTACATTCACATTAGCTTTAGCCTTCAGTAACGCATCAACACTCCGTGTAGATCGATACCTTGCTGCTGCTGCTGCATGAAGTGGTGTGTCACCTGTTTTGTTCTGTACATTCACATTAGCTCCAGCCTTCAGTAACGCATCAACACTCCATGTAGATCCACACACTACTGCTGCTCCTGGGGCTGCTGCTGCTTTATGAAGTGGTGTGTCACCTGTATTGTTCTGTACATTCACATTAGCTCCAGCCTTCAGTAACGCATCAACACTCCCTGTAGATCCATACAATGCTGCTACTGCTGGGGCTGCTGCTGCTGCTTTATGAAGTGGTGTGTCACCTGTATTGTTCTGTACATTCACATTAGCTCCAGCCTTCAGTAACGCATCAACTCTCCCTGTAGATACATACCATGCTGCTGCTGCTGCTGGGGCTGCTGCTGCAGCTTTATGAAGTGGTGTGTCACCTGTATTGTTCTGTACATTCACATTAGCTCCAGCCTTCAGTAACGCATCAACTCTCCCTGTAGATACATACCATGCTGCTGCTGCTGCTGGGGCTGCTGCTGCAGCTTTATGAAGTGGTGTGTCACCTGTATTGTTCTGTACATTCACATTAGCTCCAGCCTTCAGTAACGCATCAACATTCTCCGTTGATCCATCCCCTGCTGCTGCATGAAGTGGTGTGTCACCTGTATTGTTCTGTACATTCACATTAGCTCCAGCCTTCAGTAACGCATCAACTCTCCCTGTAGATACATACAATGCTGCTGCTGCTGCTGGGGCTGCTGCTGCTGCTTTATGAAGTGGTGTGTCACCTGTATTGTTCTGTACATTCACATTAGCTCCAGCCTTCAGTAACGCATCAACATTCTCCGTTGATCCATCCCCTGCTGCTTTATGAAGTGGTGTGTCACCTGTATTGTTCTGTACATTCACATTAGCTCCAGCCTTCAGTAACGCATCAACACTCTCTATTGATCCATCCCCTGCTGCTTTATGAAGTGGTGTGTCACCTGTTTTGTTCTGTACATTCACATAAGCTCCAGCCTTCAGTAACGCATCAACACTCCCTGTAGATGCGTACTCTGGTGTTGGTGCTGCTGCTGCTGCATGAAGTGATGTGTCACCTGTATTGTTCTGTACATTCACATAAGCTCCAGCCTTCAGTAACATATCAACACTCTCTGGAGATTCAAACCATGCTGCTGCTCCTGGAGCTGCTGCTGCTTTATGAAGTGGTGTGTCACCTGTATTGTTCTGTACATTCACATTAGCTCCAGCCTTCAGTAACGCATCAACACTCTCTATTGATCCATCCCCTGCTGCTGCATGAAGTGGTGTGTCACCTGTTTTGTTCTGTACATTCACATTAGCTCCAGCCTTCAGTAACGCATCCACATTCTCTGTTGATCCATCCTCTGCTGCTACATGAAGTGGTGTGTCACCTGTTTTGTTCTGTACATTCACATTAGCTCCAGCCTTCAGTAACGCATCAACACTCTCTTTTGATCCATCCTCTGCTGCTACATGAAGTGGTGTTTCACCTGTATTGTTCTGTACATTCACATTAGCTCCAGCCTTCAGTAACGCATCAACACTCTCTGTTGATCCATCCCCTGCTGCTACATGAAGTGGTGTGTCACCTGTATTGTTCTGTACATTCACATTAGCTCCAGCCTTCAGTAACGCATCAACACTCCCTTTAGATCCATCCACTGCTGCTTTATGAAGTGGTGTGTCACCTGTATTGTTCTGTACATTCACATTAGCTCCAGCCTTCAGTAACGCATAAAAACTCCCTGTAGATCCACACCATGCTGCTGCTGCATGAAGTGGTGTGTCACCTGTATTGTTCTGTACATCCACATTAGCTCCAGCCTTCAGTAACGCATCAACACTCCCTGTAGATCCAAACGATGCTGTTGCTGCATGAAGTGGTGTGTCACCTGTATTGTTCTGTACATTCACATTAGCTCCAGCCTTCAGTAACAGATCAACACACTCTGTATATCCATTCCATGCTGCTTCGTGAAGTGGTGTCTCACCTGTTTTATTCTTGATATTCACGTTAGCATTTTTCTGCAACAAAAACAAGACCACATTAGGGTCACATGCACCGTGAAGAGGAGTTTCTCCATGAGATGAAATCATGTCAACTTTACCACCCTCCTCAAACAACATCTTGATGATACGCAAGTTTGTCAACCCACAAGCAATGCACACAGCATCACCGTCAACCTGTGCTCCTCTGTCTAAGATAATACGCGTCATGTGCGTGTTTCGGCTCTCCAGTGCACATTTAAGACCTCTCTGTTTATCTTTATCACATCCTTTTTGCAGCAGCAGTTCCACCACACCAACATGACCATTTGCTATGGCGAGATCTAGAGGGGCCTCCTGGTAGGGAGAAAAAATAGGGCTAAAACCTGATGAATAATGCTCATTAACATCCACGCCCATGTTGATTGCATGTTCCACAGCTGATGTAAGGCCATTTGCGCAAAGGTATTGAAAGACTGTTTGATGGTACCAGTCTCTAGCATTCAGGTCAGGGTGAAGGGCCAGAATCTGATTTACAAACACACTGTCTTTGGTTTCTGCTGCTAACATAAGTGGCGTTTTCTGCTGCGAGCCATATCTAGCATCTATCTCAAGCTGATGGTGTTCACTGATATAGGTCAGTACACTACAAGCAGCATTCATGCACGTCCCAAGTAAAATGTCTCTCAGTTCACTCTGGCTGAATGTTCTGTTTTCTTTCTCAATAATAAATTTGATGAGATGATGTGACTTGCTGCTAGAAATTAATTTACAAAATGTCTGATATGAAGAGTTATCAACTAGTTTGAGTATATCAGAAACAGACATGTGACACTGTACCTTCAGGCAGACCATTAGCAAGTCAATAAACTCTGGATTACAACATGCCTGGTGCGATAAGACATGCAAGAAATTGCTCCTTGAAATTTCAGTTGCAAATCGTCTGGCTAGATGTTTAGCATAGTTCCATGAGATGTTTGCAACAAGATCTGTCTCATCAGGAACGTTTTCCCCTGGTCTTGTGGAGGCTTTAAGACGAAGTCGCTGATGGATGAATGACAAACTGCAAAAATCGATGACAAACTTTGATTGTTTTGTACTGAGAATTAGTGCGACGCAGTCATATATAGAGGGATGGTCAAACATGTATGTGTCATCTTCCTTCTTGAGGTAAGATCCGACTAAATCATCAGCAGCTGTTATGTATTTGTATCCATGGGCATTCTCCTCTTCCAACTCTTGTCCACTAATCTTTCCATCACTTTTAATCATAGCCTTGAACAGGGAAACCTTTATCTCGTCTTTAAGGAATTTATCTAGGGTCTGTTTGAGGAATGCTAGAGGCTCTTGAAAAAACTTATCTACTGGAAGCTGAGTCTGATCCTTTTCATATGTTGTGGCAAACATTTTACACACGTGGGGAAAGCCGTGTGGACAGTCAGATTGACATATCCGAGACACGGTTGACTCATCAAAGTCTATGTTTTTTGTTTTGGCATGAACATGCCATATTTTCCTTCGTTCATTAGAGTCTCTCTGCGAGGAAACTTCCACCACATACTGGGGACTAGATATGTAATCTGCCACCCTTCTCAAGTCTGCCAGTGAGGATTTCAGCACATAGTCACGGCCTATGAGGATAATGATCGTTTTGCCTTTGTTTGGTGCTGTTCTCTTTAGAAATGTTTGCTCATCCTTTGTTCTCTCTTTTTTGCTTTTAGTGGATTTATCTGTAGAGTCTTTTTTTGTGGTCTTGTCTGTATCCTTCATATCCACAACAGGTCGTAGACTTGGTCTCCACTTGGCCCATTCTGCTACATCAAATTCTAGATCACCGAATATGTCATCTAACATAATGACAGGGTTTGTGCTGGCCGTTATGACCTCATTGAACTCTTCTGGTGACACCACCTGATACACTTGTCTCCCCTGAGTGTGCTGATCTTTGAGGGCCATGTAGGCTATTGTAGACTTCCCCTCTCCTGGCCTTCCTTTAATTGTCACCCATGTTGCTCCACTCTCCAGCTTTTCCGTCACCTGATACAGGGCTTCTGTCTCCACCATGTCTTTAGTCATTGACTGAATCCTGGATTCCGTTCTTTCTGTGAAAACATGGCACATTTGATATATATATATATAAAACTATAAAAACATATATGTAAAAGTGTACAGTATGCCATATTTTAATTTGACCTCAATTAAATAAAGTGTGGTCATTATCAATCACATACAGTTTGACTCTGAGATCCCTTATTTTGAAATGTGACAGTGAGTGAGTGAGTTAACATTTTAACAATACTTCATCGATATCGTGACTACAATGTTTACAAACTTTATATGAATTATAATTCTGTCAACAAGGACGGTAAAAAAATCAGTAATATATTACATAATTTCACTGAGAGTTTGGACAGTACTAAATACATCCCGTGAATGTTGAATATTGTCGATATACAATCAATATGAATCGAATGTCCCACCTTCAAATTGTTTAAATTGAAACACTGCTTTTCAAAGCATTTCTCTGTTTTTCGATATTGGTCTGCAAGTTATTTGTTCTGAACAGACAGACAGTTTAAGTAACGTTTGAATAGTGCCTGCTGTGCTTGTGGATCATAACAGAATGTTCATATGAACGAAACAGCCAGAATACCAAAGTATAGAATTGAAGTGACAAAACCGTTTTGATAATCATAAGAAACAGTTCACTGAATGATTCTGCCTATGTATCACAAGCACCTCTTTATGAATCACTATCAAATTGTGATTATACCAGGTCCTAGCAAGTAGGTGAGGGTATGTATCCTGTTAGACATAATGGGAAATTTTACTATTGAAAGTTAAAGTCATTCCCCGTGTCATATAGTCTTATGGAGAGGTGTTGTTTCACTCAGCATCTTCATTCATAGATCTAAATACGAAAAACAGCACAGGCGGTCTGACTGGTCGACCTTATTTATAGTTCAGGTGGCTAAATCAGTGAAAGGGTCGTTGACTGATATCAGATCACTAATATACCTGAAGCCTAAGATAAACGTCTGGGCCAAATTACCTTGTTTTCACTTTTCCAATCCAAACAGAAATTCTGATTCTTATATATTTGTTGATTTTATCCACCAGGTACTTAGGAGTTGCCATATATGTTGTATCAAATCTACTGGGTATGTTGTATCACTAGACACGACCTTACATTTGATCTGAGTGATTTAGACGAACAAATCCTCTGGACACACTACAATTTGTATATAGTTTTTATAGTGATGTAACATTATGTAAAATGTAACAGAGATCAAGAAATAATACTTCAGTGGCTTTGCTAGGTTTATCACTTGTTTACAAAACTCAAAGTTAATTGTAGTCATGAACACGTAAACTGTGTGCACGAGGTGACAGTTGTAACAAATATGAAGATTATTACAGTCAGCATTTACTAGAAAACGCCTTCATCTGATCGATCCTTGTGAGAACAAGTACAGCAGATAACTTACTCCTGATCTTCCGTGCTGCAACAGTCAATGGCTTCTCCTCTTCCTCCGGGCGGGTCTGAGGTGTACCAACGTTCTGCTGTCCGCCAACGGTCATGTACAAGGGACCCGTCACATCTCGAAACTGCTGCCGTACTTTGAAAAGGTTGTACTGGTGGACTGTAACAGGAACAAAAAAACTGAAGCTTTCAGGACCGTTTTCCATATCTCGTACCTCACGTGATACTGAAAACAGACAACTGTCATGAACAGACAACAAACTGCTACTTCATATTAGTTGCTTTATTTTCGTAAATAGTGACTTTCATGTTACGATTGTTCGAAAGTGGCAAATCTGCAATTGAGCAGAGCTAGACCTTGTATAGTGGTTGTATAGGGTTAATGACTTTCCTGTAAAAAAGTGAGCCTATTAGCTTAAAAAAGCAAAGTCATTTGAAAACTCCATGTTGGAGGTATTAGATATTGGAACAATAAGTCATGTCCCTGTTTATCAGCACTCACCTACAGGAGAATCACCAGTCACTGGTGCCACAGGTAGCCCGGACGACTGTTTCTCTGATACAACAGATCCTGGTATTCTTGGTTGAAGAGAGGATGTGGACGCTGGTGTCAGGGCTGCTATTGTTGGGACCTTTAGACTGATTGTGTTAGGAACTACACAAGATGTAGTTGTGGGCAGCTGCAGCTGACTTGTTGTCGGATCAACATCACCAACTGAAGCTGGTTGGAGTTGTGTCCCCTGCTGTGGTGCTGACGCTATTTCTCCCTGTGGTTGTTGACAACATCCCACAATGTGTTGTGCTAGTGTCGTGGTATCTACGAAGGAACAAGCATGTCACAGTTGGATTTCCAGCTATTTGAAAACAATATCTAAAATATACATTAGCTCCGATTCAATTTGAAACAAAATATATATGCCCCTATACTGCTGAAAAAGACATTGTCTGACATCAAAATGACATTGTTGCAAGGTGTTTTTAAGTAAGACATATTTAGGTTTATTTAAAAAAATCTGGTTTTTCAGCTGTAGCTGAATACCAAATCCTCAATAGGTTTATTATCACGACCCTAGCCGTGGTGACAAACAGTTATAGTTAGTTAAACATTTGGACAAAAGATTGTGGAAGCTCCACACGATTTTATCGAAACAAATATGGACACTATTGTCAGTACTTGAAAATGTTAGGCAGTAGTATTACACTGAGTAGAAACGGGACTATCCGGCAGATACACCTTACTATGGTTGTCCTTCAGATGCACTTGGTGATATATTTCTCTTTGGAAAGCACATGTTAATTCCAGAAATTGAGTAGGATTTCAAAATACTAGTATCTATCTTATTTATTGAGAAATATTTTCCCGTCCACATGCTTCAATTCCACAGGGCACACCTAAATGTCTTTAAGATCCACTGACATCCTTAATTCACTGTAAAAAGGAATGTCATGAACGTCCCGCAAATTAAGCACTTGTGTATTATTAATGAGATGCTTAAAAGTGAAATTACTTCATGCATACCTACAAGTTGGTATGACTCTTGTTGAACAGTCTGGAATTTGACCACTACAGCACCTGCTCCAAGCTGTGACATGTCTTCTATTCCTTCCCCCTCTTTCTCATCTGTGATGTCATCAAACAAGCATTCGTCAGCACTCTCTTCATCAACATCTTTATTTTCTGCATCCTCCGTAGTACTGCCTTCTCCTTCAGTTGTTCCTTGAGGGTTGTCCGTGGGACTACCTGCAAGCTCCATGTTTTCCCGTTATCGTTCTGATTCAGGCTTTGAACCTTCTTCACTGTTTCTTGCTATTCATCAGTGTCTGTAATCTAAGTCGGCATCTAACTCATCATCATCCTGAAAGACAAAAGTCCTAACGTATGCAATGTCCGCATGATGGACAGCCTTACGTTTGGTATAAGTGAATCAAGTATGAGAATTCTCTGCCTCAGCACTGTAGCTCACCTGGATATTTTGTCAAATCGGTGCTAGCTTTCAGTAACATCGAACTGCAAACAATACATATATTATATACATGAGTGTGACATATAAAGTTATAGAGGTTGTTGTTTTTCATCAAAAGTCATGTTTCACTGTCATGAAAACAAAAACTAGTATTTTCACTTGTGTGAAAATACAAAAACCATTGCCCTCGGATGACGGAACAAGTATCATCCACAGTTACCGCCCTTGAAAGTTGTCTCCCTTGGTTTATCTGTCAGCGTCAAAGCAGAACAAAACAAGATGAGTAAACAAACTTTCAACTTGTGGTATTGACTACGCAATGTCATATAACTTTCATATTACAAAACTTTATCACCATGATGTCTGTGATGTTCTTGTTTGACTATCGAACCACAAAGTTGTGACGAAGTGGGTCACAGATCTTGTGCCATGATTGTCACTTTGTGGTGTACATGTATTCGTGCACTTTCCCACTGGTGCGCCACAAAAAACAGCTTTTACATTATGGTTTTCAAACTTCACTTAATGAGTACATGGTATTTAACGAAAAGCATGAAATAGTATCTGTATCGCAAAAACATTTAAAGATATATTTTGGCCCCATGGCAAAAGTATCAAATTTCATTACAGTTTTGGTAAATAATAAAAAAAAGTAGCCATAAATACCCATGGCTGGCTAAATACAATGTTTATGGAAAAAGGTGAGATTTCCGGCCGTATACCCCCTCAAGAATACGCTACTGGGCTAATTTCGTCAAATCAGTCACCAACATCGCATCTGGAAAAAAACATTTCTAAATAAAGCTGTATATCCAAGCTCCTCGCAGTGAATCCTCTTTCACGGCGCTACCTTTTGAGAAAGCTACTTGTGGATGAGTAATATTTGGAAAGATGTCAGTTTTAAATTATACCGTATCTCCCTCTTTAAAGCGCCTTATGCTAAAACAATTCAGCAGGCTAAATGTTAAACCATTCCAAAACTGTACATTAATACACTAAACATTTCCTTGTTAGTCGGGCACTATGATAAAAGGGGGACAAACTCTATGATACTTGTAATGAGTGAGATAGTAAATATATTTTTTAATAGAAACATATTTTTATCTCACATGTATAATGATATGTGTACATATGAAATGCATTAATCAAAATGAAAATTTATTTTTAAAACAGTCCTAACTACCACGCTAAAAATCAAAGGCGGCCAAACCCTCTCATGTTGACAGGCGTGAATGTTGACCTGTGATCCATGTAGCGAGGTGTGAGCACTTTTCTACAGCGTGAATAATTGACGTGTCAGGCCAAAGGAGTAAGCATACAGTAAGGTAAGCATTAGGGAGTTAATACTCCTGGAGAAGTATGGTTCATTATTGTATAAAAAAAATAACAATATGGTTTTCAATTTGAACAATGTGTGCATGACAGACATTTACAAATACATTTTGAGGCCCCTCTACTACCAACAAAAGGACCAAATGGGCTGGCTAGTTTCGTTATATCAGTCACCAACATCGCGTCTATATCAGTATTCACACTGAACTATTCCTTCTCAAATTCAACCCAACAATATATAGTTACACAGTGATGATTACAGACAAGCAAGAATCTATCGACACTTACTTACTGTGTTGTATCATGGGGAAATGTGTGTGCGAGTTCTAACCCCCTGTCAAGAAAAGCCAGCGTAGACTGTTTCCCGCATCCTTCGCTTGGTGTCGCTGCTTCCCCATCCAGGATAGACTGGTACCTAACCTGGTTATAGGCTCCTTAGGCGCATCGTCAACTTGCGCCAAGGTTTAATTGTGATATGAGAGACGGGACCCAGCTTAGACTGATACCCTGGCGGCAGTTAGACTGGGTACAGTCAGTAAAGAGTCAGTCAGTCAGTCAGTCAGTCAGTCAAGAGTCAGTCAAGAGTCAGTCAGTAAGTCAGTCAGTCAAGAGTCAGTCAGTCAGTCAGTAAAAAGTAAGTCAGTCAGTCAAGATGCAGTCAGTCAGTCAAGAGGCAGTCAGTCAGTCAAGAGGCAGTCAATCAGTCAGTCAAGAGGCAGTCAGTCAGTAAAAAGACAGCCTAGAGGCAGTCAGTCAGTCAGTCAAGAGGCAGTCAATCAGTCAGTCAGGTAAGAGGCAGTCAAGAGGCAGTCAGCCAGTCAAGAGTCAGTCAAGAGTCAGTCAGTCAGTCAGTCATTTAGTCACTCAGCCAAGAGTCAATCAGTCAGTCTGTCAAGAGTCCGGCAATCAAGAGTCAGTCAAGAGGCAGTCAGTCAGTCAGTCAGGAGTCAGTCAGTCAGTCAGTCAAGAGTCAGCCAAGAGGCAGTCAGTCCATTTTTCAAGGGGCAGTAAGTCAGTCAGTCAGTCAGTCAAGAGTCGCAGTCAGTCAGTCAATCAAGAGGCGGTCAATCAGTCAAGAGGCAGTCAGTCAGTCAAGATGCAGTCCGTCACTCAAGATGCAGTCAGTCAAGAGGCAGGCAGTCAGTCAAGAGGCAGTCAAGAGTCAGTCAGTCATTTAGTCACTCAGGCAAGAGTCAGTAAGTCAGTCAGTCGAGAGGCCGGCAATCAAGAGTCAGTCAGTCAAGAGGCAGTCAGTCAGTCAGTCAGTCAGCCAGTAGTCGCAGTCAGTCAGTCAGTCCATTTTTCAAGAGGCAGTCAGTCAGTCAATCAGTCAGTCAGTCAGTCAGTCAAGAGTCAGTCAGTCAGTCAGTCAAGAGTAAGTCAGTAAGTCAAGAGTCAGTCAGTCAGTCAGTCAAGAGTAAGTCAAGAGTCAGTCAAGAGGCAGTCAGTCAGTCAGTCAAGAGGCAGTCAGTCAGTAAAGAGACAACCTAGAGGCAGTCAGTCAGTCATTCAATAGGCAGTCAATCAGTCAGTCAGGTAAGAGGCAGTCAAGAGGCAGTCAGTCAGTCAAGAGGTAGTCAAGAGTCAGTCAGTCATTTAGTCACTCAGGCAAGAGTCAGTAAGTCAGTCAGTCGAGAGGCCGGCAATCAAGAGTCAGTCAGTCAAGAGGCAGTCAGTCAGTCAGTCAGTCAGTCAGCCAGTAGTGGCAGTCAGTCAGTCAGTCCATTTTTCAAGAGGCAGTCAGTCAGTCAGTCAGTCAGCCAGGAGTCGCAGTCAATCAGTCAGTCAGTCAGTCAGGAATCAGTCAGTCAGTCAAGAGTCAGCCAAGAGGCAGTCAATCCATTTTTCAAGGGGCAGTCAGTCAGTCAGTCAGTCAGTCAAGAGTCGCAGTCAGTCAGTCAAGAGGCAGTCAGTCAGTCAAGATGCAGTCCGTCACTTAAGATGCAGTCAGTCAAGAGGCAGTCAGCCAAGAGGCAGTCAGTCAGTCAAGAGGCAGTCAGTCAGTCAAGAGTCCGGCAGTCAAGACTCAGTCACTCAGTCAAGAGTCAGTCAGTCAGTCAAGGGTCAGCCAAGAGGCAGTCAGTCAGTGAGTCAGTCAGTGACTGAGTGAGTCAGTCAGTCAACAGTCAGTCATGAGGCAGTCACTCAGTCAGTCAGTCAAGTGGCACTCAGTCACTCAGTACAGAGGCAGTCAGTCAAGAGGCAGTCAGTCAAAAGTCAGCCAATCAACAGGCAGTCAGACAGTCAAGAGGCAGTCAGTCAGTCAAGAGGCAGCCAAGAGGCAGGCAGTCAGTCAGTCAGACAGACGGTCAGTCAGTCAAGAGGCAGTCAGTCAGTCTGTCAGTCAAGAGTCAGCCAATCAGTCAGTCAGTTAAGAGGCAGTCAAGAGGCAGTCAGTCAATCAAGAGGCAGTCAAGGAGCAGTCAGTCAAGAGTCAGTCATTAAAGAGTCAGTCAATCAAGATGCAGTCAGTCTGTCAGCCAGTCAGTCAAGAGTAGGTCAAGAGTCAACCAAGAGTCAA